ACCCATTAATCATCTGATTACATGTCCTGTTGACCATATATAATGAAATTATTTAAGTTATTTAGAGCCTGCCTGATCTTGGCAGCAGTTTTTTCCAGCTTTTCTGCTTACAAGGGTACTGTGGCATAGTGGTGCTTTGTGGGTGGGAGTTTGCAGAGCACCCCAATGGTGTTCAAATCATCGTTTTGATGTAAAATGCTGTATTTTGCTGTGGTTCACACCTCATTTTTTATCCTGAAGACATTTCCTGGCTGGATCACTAGCGGGTAAAACATTTTCCTGCGGAGGCTGTCCAGTTTTGCGTGCAAGAAGGGTTTGTTTGCACATCCCATGCAACCACAAGAGATTTTAACCCTGTTTGGCGGGATGTCCCAGGGAAAAGCCCATAATTAAGTGAAATGGAAACAAAATTGGACTTTCAGGAGGCAGGCAGGGCAGAATTCAGATGTTGAGTAAAGCAGAATAAAAATCATGCCACATATGTGGTAGTGCTGCACATAAAATGATGCATAGCCCCTGAAACAGTGAAGGTGCCTGCTCCGTTTCCAGCAATTTTGTTTTTATTTCACATTTGATGCACATTTCACGCTTTGCACACTTGCAAATGGATTTTTGAGCCCGGCATTGGCTGCTCTCCATGCTGGAATCAATCCCATCTTAAAATTACCCCTTTATAGTGGAGAGTGTTAAACTGGAAGCACTAACCAGTCGCCCTATAAACAAGGCAAGACCCTGTCCGTTGTCTGGAGGGAGGGAATCTGGGAGCAGGAAAATACCGGTGGTGTTTGCGGAGCTACAGTAGGGGTCTAATCTCCTGCCTTCAGGTGCACAAGCAGGAGGAACTCTTAAAAAATTAACAATTGCGTAATTTCACATAATTTCCTTGTAGTGTTTACAGCCCAGTCTGAGTGCCCGACAACCAGATGGGGTGTGGGGGAAAAGCAGAAAAACTACATAATGGAAAACAGATTTAAATAAATGCAGTGACATAATCTGTACGGTTCTTGGCAAGAAAAGAGCAAGTTTGTGCTTTTCATATCCGCTTCTTCAATAAGCTGTAAGTTTCCCTTTTAAGAAATGGTTATAACAAACAGTCCTGATTCTTCTCCTATTAAAGTCAGTAGCAAACATCCACTCAGCTTCCACCGAAGTGCGCAGCTGAAGCGTTGCCACCTCGCACAAAGACTCGCCCAATAATGTTTTTCTCCTAGCTCCAGCCAATATTCGGCATTAAGAAACTCAGCCTTCATTTAAAAAAGGTGCCAAGGTGAGTGCCAGCGTGCATGGGAAGCTCTAGACTCCTTATCACATAGAAAACCTGGGAAATTTATACTCTAAAAACTGAAAACACTAAGGAAAAAGCCCCTAATCTGTTCATCTTTGTTATTTCTAAGCTGAGGACAGAGGTAGAAGAGAATTCAAAACAATTCATTGTTTTGAATTGCCCGGGACTGACAATATTGTTACTGGATTTTAGTATTCTTCCGCTCCTTTTTCCAGGCAAGCAGTAAAAATGTGCATTTGGCACAATTCCCTTAGGCACACTTGGTAAATAAAATCTGTGTTATTTTACACCAGATGTACAGGACACAGAAAAATAAACACGAGAAAATGGGACAGCTCTAACGGTTTGGTATTTAAAGGAAAGATGACCCCAGGCGATGTCTGTATAATATTTAATGGTAAATCATAGTCTCTAACATCATTATATTATTCTGTTACAGTTTTTTTCACACACCGTAAAATACTCTACAGTAACTGTATTTAAAAAATCCTAATTAAAAAGAGGAACACTCTGTGACAGCAGAAATAACTCAAGGGAACCCGGAAAGGCTGTTTAAATTGCCAAGTGGTATCTGTCCATCTACACTCGCCGCACACGGCGTTTAGCCCTTCGTTTGCAGCAAAATCAGCGATCCTGAGCTGGCATAGTGCACATTTCCTAATCATTCCAGTTTACACCCCAAATTATTGGCAACACAGAGCAAACTCTGGTCCAACTTCCCGGGGGGGGG